TCTTTTCTGAGACAAAACTAATGAATATGTTTAAAATCAGTAAGAGCCTTTTCATGACATGTGTTGGTGTCACCAAAAAAGCACGAGGCTGTTTTCTATCGAAGCTTTAAGGGCTTCCCTTTCAATCTCCCCAGGATAGGTTCAGCTGCAGTCAGTCAGGGCAAGCTTAGTCAATTCTTATCACTTTTCTCACTACCTTATTATCACTTATCTTCGTGCGACTTTAATTTTGCGTATTTGGAATAAAAATATTTCGCGGGACTTAAAAATTCGCGATTTTCACGAATCACTGTTTTTCAAGGTAATTAAATTTCGCGAATCAAGTAACTGGTGCTCGTTTTTTAAACTTCCATTTCTGTATTTTATTTAACCATAACGGAATAGAAACCTCAAACGCAACAAACAATTGGCTGAAATGTTCAACAATGTCAGCAACTTAGTAACATCTTTTAAAAGGGTTGATACAAGCAAGATGAGTCAGATGATGAGGAATAAGGGCATGCGTTGAACTTAAATTTGAGTCTTCTTACTCGTATGTAAACTCCTAGCAGACGGAAAGCTCAAATAAAGGATTTTATAAAGGTCTCCAAATTTCGCGTCTTTAATTTTCGCGGCACCTCATTTTCGCGGGACCTTAATTTCGCGATTTTTTTTTTTAAATCGCGAAAATCGCAAAAATTGAGTCTCACGAAAATAAGTAATAAGGTAATAAATGGTCCAACTGTTTTAATAAGTAAGGACTCCGCCCCTAGAAGAGCGTAAATTGAGTAAATTATCACGATTGGAAAATTTTCTTTTGAAGTAAAACCCAGAACCTATTTTAGTAAAAAACAACAACAGCTTCTTTGAGGGAATATCTCGCCCATCCAGAATGCCCAATGTGACCTCTTTTGAGAAACGCCTAAAACACTGAGTAGATAAATTCTTTAAAACTAAAGCACACAGATTATCCGTGGCTGTGTTTTTGAAGCGAAAGGAAAAAAAATGACTAAAAAAGAGTAAGATTAAAGAAAATTGGAAAACATCAAAAGTTTGCAAAACGACTTGTGTGAGTCATGTGGTGCAGTGTTTTTTTACGGCTTAAACTATTTCATGAATATTGGAAACAAATGTTTGAATTCTAAAACAGACTGTCCACATGCAGAGGAGAACTATTGATTGGTGAGAAAGTAATTTCTGGCCGTTGAAGTCTCTATTTCGGGAGTCTATTCTGGTGACAAAGTTTTACCTCAGTGCTTTTGATCTCACCTTGAAGAAAAGTTTTTGTCAGGCCGGCCCTTCGTTCTCTGGAAAGATTCATTTATCTAGAAGTGAGATCCATTGCTCTATTCAGTTGTTGGTTTTGAAGAAACTGTTTCTCTTACTGGTGTAAATAAAAATGGACGAAAATTTACATGGACCTCTCTGTCTTTCCTTTAATGTAAAGTTCTGAGAGGAAGTATTTCTGGTAATCAACACTTGGTTGAGCTCATCCTCAAGGAAAAAGAACTATACTTCCGTGGAAAGTTTTTAGACTTAATCTGCAAAAACAGTGTTCGAAGCTATTCAATTTTTTTTGCCAGTGGATTCATGTGAGGGCTTCATATGCACACTTCTCAACTTTTTACGATGGTTTTACGATTGGTGATCCCTCTCGTAGCCGAATATCAAATATAATAGTAGTTTGAGATTACTGGAAAAATATTTATTACCATCATAAGAGCTCTTTATATGCGCAGCTCTAAATTTATGACAGAAACGGCAAGGCTTACTTACATGAGTATTTATCCATGTTCGTATAACGGTCAATAAACAGATTTCTTAAGACGCAAGAGTTAAGAAATTTACTGACTGGGCTGAAACTACCTATGTTTGAATGTGCAGTTTGAGTCGTAAAAGTTCTCTTTATCAGTTTTGTTGATTAATACAACGCTCAGTTATCTTTGGGGCAAGAGTTAACAACATCTACAATTCCAGAAATAGTTAGCTGGGAAACATGTCGAGAACCACGTTTATGATGTTCTTTCGCCTCCTGGCCTTCTTGCCAATTTTTCTATGCCATCGCAGAGTAACATTTAAGAGGGGCAGAGGAGGCCGCAAGTGACTCAACAAATGTGTCTAGGATAATGGGTCAGGTCATTTGCCCCTCTGTTTATAGGGAATGAAATTGTCTCCCATTTACTAACGATAGGTGAAATGAATGTGTTATCGACAAAAGAGTTTTACGGGCGCTGTCGAAAATTCAAAATATTTTTTCGACTCTCGCGATTCAAACAAATGAATAAAGGGGGTAAGTTTCTAAAGAAACTGCGGTGCTGCGTCGGTGGTGAGTAACAAGGTAATTTTGGTTTTATCAACTGAGTTGGTGATGTAAATTGGCCACCTTTAACTGTTTCAAAGCTGACGTTTCGAGCGTTAGCCCTTCGTCAGAACAAAAGCCGAGAAGGAATTGTGGGTTGTGTGTGTGTTTACATGCAGAAATTGGAGCTACGCTATCGGTGGAAAAAAGGATAAATTTTTAGAATGAAAAGCGTCCATTGATTCGTTCGTTCGATTAGGTGACCGATTCCGAGAACACCTTCGCGACGTAGAAAGGAATGACAGGGACGCGTCAAAACCAGCCTGAGTCGCTAAAATCTTTAATCTGTCTCACGCTTCTTGGCAGCATATGGCAGTCTGCGGCCTTTCCTTACATTTAGGTGGTTCGGCAAGCCGCAAAACTTTTGAAAAAACAGGTTACTTTTCAAGTCAGCACTCCTAATCCCAATGGTATCAACAAACGCTTTTCATATCGAATTTAAAATAAACTAAAGGAATTGCCAAACAAGTTCACCGAAGAACATAAGCTGAGCTTGCTCGGATAAACAACAACTTCTTTTTTCCATTTTTTGTTTTTTGTTTGTTTAAACGCGACCAATCATCGTTCAGAATGAAAACAGGTAGTTTATCAGTATTTTTTTTACCAGATAAACCCAGAAGATTGAATTCGTTTAAAATTTCCTTCACTTGCGAGCATGATGAAGTCGAAATGTTGCTTACACTTAAAAGTAAAATTCTTCAGTCCTTGAACACCAAAGTAATAGACCATATTGTTTGATAATAGGTATTTTCCGTTAAATATGATAATATCCCCTTACATCCAAATTTTTTAAATTTAGGTTTGTAAGATAATGGCCAAAATTTGTGGTTTGTAACCGCTGTCAGATTTGACCCCTTACTCGATTTCTCATTCTTACTTGCAATATTAGTGCACCACTTCAAATTATTTCTCCTTCAAATTGACAAAAATAGAACAGGACAGAAAATTTGCATATATGCATTAACGGTATTTTTGTCGTAAATTTTTAATATCATTTAATATCATATTTCACTTACTAGTAGGGTAGTTTTTCCTTTGTCTCCAGCAGTGTCCAATGATTCCTTTGTCCAACTTATGCTGCATTAAAACGAGGGGTAATTTTAAGTTTTACACCCAAACAAAAGACGATAAATATCAAGTTTGGCCAACGTTGCGCAACGAAAAGGAGCAGATGTGATATACTGAGATATCTTCCCGTTCATGAAGTACGTTAGTCTATGTACTTAAGTTCCCTGATCTCAAAATAACTCTACTCTTCCAAGGTTCGCTACAATGACGGAAATAAGGCGAGAAGACCGGATATGTCGCTACATTTTATTTTCACTCACCTGGATCGAGTAAAGTTGCAATAAAGTGACCTCGAGCTTGGCTTTGCTTGTGCTAGGTCTCAAGAGTAAAACTGAAGGACCTTAATGGTTCGAGATGAACTGTGTTGAACGATGATCCACGAGCCTTGACCTCACTACAGATGGTCAGGGTGAATCGTTATTCTCCACTCCCCATGATCCAAATATTTTAACTTTCCGACCATCGATTAGGGCTCGCAGTAAATGGATTTCTTTAAAATATGTTTTTTAATTCGGTTCTTCTCCTGATCCTGGAACAACGATTTAAAAAAAATCAACGATCTAAGTTGATACCTAGATTTTTCCTCTAATCCTTGGAGCTTTATCCTCTTCTCTTTTACTCTTAAAAATTAAAAAGGAAGGGTGCCCACTTCCGCGCCCTGTTAAAAAACCTCCATGAAGTTTCAAACGAAGTTGTAGTCCGTGACTCTCGAAATTTTGCTTCTTTCCTTTTCTTGACGCCTTATTTTTTTAGTTATCTTAATGGGAATTTAAGCGGAGCTCAGTGTGTAAAATGATCATTTAACGATTTGTCTGTTGTTTAAAGGGGGTGAAAAGTATGTTTTGGCGGGGTTTTCGTTGTATTAGCTCGCCCACCAAGGTGAGTGGTAACTGGTAAGTGGTGACCTTGTCTGAAAGTCAAATCAAATGACAGCATTTTCACCTGCAGTCCTAGAAAGTGTGAAATGTCCTACAGCATGGCGCCTGCGGGTCTGCCTGAACTAACAAGGTAACACATGAAGGTGACAAAGTCTTCAGAAGAATTCACACTAGATTCTTTGTTTTCTAAGTGTTCCCAAACTTTTTATTTCGTTTTATTGTTTGTAAGCCGAATAGAAACCAGAAACACAGCAGTGTTAGCTTCTAAACGCAAAGTTATGTTTCTTGTTCGAACCAATGGCCACTCCCATTCTAACAACCAGCGGGAAATATGACAGCGTCGGACTCAGTTGTCCTGAAATGCCTGCGTAAAGTAGATGAATTAGATGAATAAATCATTTTGACGTTAGGTATTGTGCGCGATACATTGCAGGAATAGACATTTTACAATTTCTGATTTTCTGTTGTTGGCTTGGCATCACGTTTAGACGCGAAAGTAATTTACTTGCGCTCACAGCAGTTAACACTACAAGTGCCGCAAAACGACAGAGATTTATAACCTAATCCGAAAATCCACCAATGCCGTGCGGTTTCCTAAGGATTTTAAACCAAACAACCTCACTTGAAAAAGGTGCCGCGTAATTAATCAAAGTTGACAGCTGTCATTAATTATCGCCAACGATAGGCGACAATCTGATTAAATATGTATACCAAAGACCCGCCATGACAGTAGAGTTTCTTGAGGTGCTGCCTTGTTACCGTGGATTCCTTTCTTAGTTTCATTATTTTTCCACATTTCATAACAAGAAAGAATCCTCTATTCACACGCCTTGCGTTGTAGCGATGCGCGCTGAAGATTTCAAACTTTGATGTAGTGCGACAGGAATTGTGATAGTGTCCAACGGATCAACCGAACGCCAAACTTGGATGACGCACTTGAAATAACGCTCAGAATAAAGTAAGTGCACCGATTTTCTGTTTTTTTTTTTTTAGTTCTTGAACATGAAGGAATGACGAGGGAATGCACATTGCACTTCTTATCTGTTCGAGACACCTCGAAATTAGGTGTTACTGTGGGGGTCGTCGATTTCCGGTAACACATTTCCTAGTGGTAAGTTTTAGGGGAAATGAAAACATCATTATAAGCTACTTCATTTATCTATGGATACCTTTCATGGAAAAAACATTTTCCAGTATACCCTCTATGCTTTATTTACCACATGTAAGTTGCCCTCGCTGCCTTGTACCAAACTGTTTAAACTAAACAGTTTGATTTTGATGTGATTCACCAACTTAAATACGGGAAAATTACAAAGTGTTACTTTTGCATAAAATGCCAAAGGTTTTTTTGCTTGTTATAGTTTCGTGAAGGTTCTATTATCTTTCTGTGTTTAACCTTGGTATTCGAAAATTTACAGTGGCGTCTATCAACCAACCGAACTCGAAACTGTTCTGGTTTGTAGATTTATAGAGCACAGTAGTTGTCCAGTATTAATTGCGTTTGAAAGTAGGTTTAAGAAGCTGTAATATGCAAACTAACGAAAGAATAGTGGGCACTTCTTTGAGCAAAGAAAGCGAGTATTGACCTTCACTTTGAACTGATTACTCTGCAATAAACGTAACCAGTGTAGGTTGACTATTGCAATACGAAAGGTCGAGTTCAGCCACAAACCTCGTAAATGTGTCACTTGGAAATGAAAATCTCGAAGCCCTTCAGCGTTTCTGAAATAAAACTGTACATTTTTCCAAAATTTTTTGTATGTTTTAAAACAAATGACATATTTTTAAGCTGTAGGAGGATTATTAGGGCTCAGTTTCAAAGAGAGGTTTGACGAGAAAGCAGGCCATTTTACAAATGACAACTTCAATTTAATTGGAAAACAAACAGCCTCGTAAGACAATGCGCACTCTTACCTTTGGTTTATATGGACATTACTAGAAAGCCGAAACGAACAATGAGCACAAAACGCTCCTTTTATCTCCTTCAGCTAACGTACATATCATACTCTCATCCCGAGTACGATTTGATTGTAACTTTGGAGAAGTGATTTTGCAAGGCAAGCGCCGGAGTCTCCAGGAAAGGAAACGATCTCCCTAAATATAGAAATATTGTTGACCACTACATTTCAATCAGATAACAAGACGATGATTCAGTCATAGATGGTTGACATATAAATTGCACGTTAAAAGTGAAATAGATTTGGAACTTGCTACCGACCACATCTAGCCACAGAGACCGACTTTCCACCATTATTGTTGTAGTACATCCGTTTTTTTTTTCGATATGCAGCATTCCCTTCAGTCTAGGAACCATTACTCGTCTCTTAAATAGCTCGATATATATACACTCAATAATATTTCCTTCCTTTAGATTGCTAGCACAGCTGCTTGGGTTGAAAAACAACATAAAGAACCGAACACTCCTAAACACACTCCTCATAAGTGATCTTTCGCTGATGTTTTTCAGTTCCTGTTAGAACCCCGTCGCTTCAGTTTCTTCAAGTGTGAAGTACAGATTAGTTCTAAATTGAAAAGAATTACTGCCTATTAGAAGCTGCCATTTTCACACCCTCAAAAGTTTCCGCAAGGTTCCCAGAGCTGAAGAAGTAGACGCACTGGCGACTGAGGTGCGAAAAAGCCAGATCATCAATACACAGCCGGGATGAAGCAAGAAACCACTTGTTTTCATTTACAAAACAGCACTTTTGTCTGACGTGACTGTCAAGCCTGCTGAGCTAGCTGTCGGGTTTTTACGTTTCTAGTAAAAATGTAAGAACTTTTTCATATGTAAAACATGCTAAATACAGAGAACTTTCAGAGAGTGGGAAGCAAAGAGTTTTTCGGATATTCTAAGCTAACAGTACAGGAACAACAGTGTTCAGTGTTTTCATCCTTTGATAATTGAATGTGCATTAAGTCAAATCGCTTGTTGATCCTCGAGGCCATTCTTTGGTTTTGACGCTTACTATTTGCTACTTAATAAGAGAATTCGGAGGAAACAAACTGAACGCATGATGACTATGGTACAAAAATCACAAATAAGAACACCAAGAAAACAACTGAGTAGAACGTAGAACGAGCCAGGAGAGGCCAGCATGGCTTCGATACCGCTTTAGGACCACGATTGAGGGTCAACATCGTCTTTGAATATTAAACGAATAAATGCATATGTCAAGAAATGTAGAGTTGATTTTTTGATCCATATCTGTTCACATGAATGGGAATAGGAACAACAAGTTTAGGAGCGTGAAGCTTTCGGTTTCCATGAGCCTGAGGTCCACCAAGAGTCCTTACTCTCTTCCATTTCGCTCGTCTGTTCTGAAACCAAATTTTCACTTGAACCTCGCTGAGTTTTAAAGTTCTTGCAATGTGTGATCTCTCTTCCAGTGAAAGGTACTTTTTGGTGTGAAATTCTCGTTCAAGTTCTAGCAGTTGTTGGCTTGTAAAAGCCGTTCTTTTCCGTCTTGATTTGGTTCCTCCCTCGGAGTCTGAATTTTGGTCTTCTTGTTCGTCTTCGTCACTTCCAGTTGGTGAATTTGGACGAGTCTCACCACTGTATCCTATGTGAGGAAAATGGGCATCAAATAAACAGAAAAGTAGTACATTTAACTTTAACAGTAGTCAGTTGTATACATCCTAACACAGTAGCTTTAGTGATGCACACAGTAAACGAGGAAAGAACCGGCACATAAACGTCGTAGGAGGACTAAACCTTCCATAAGGTCTGTAAGTGTAGACCAATGGAAAGAGAATATATTTTATAATTGAAATAGATGCATTACAAATTTTCATTTTAATTAGCAGTGAACAACGCCGGATGGCTCTGCTAAAATATGCAGTTTTCAAAAGCAATTCCAGCCTAAAAGCAGTTTTCAACACATTCCTTTCTAAATATCGAATCCAATTACTACAGTAACAAATAGAACAGAACACTCACTTGTTGGCGAGGAAGCAAAACGATCCACTACTTTCTCTCTACGAAAATGTTTGTCCAATTTTTCTTCCTCCATTTGAAATACAGAGACCGTCCTGTCCGAATAAATCCCATCGCCCCGCGGTGTGAGCTCAACCAAATTCTGCATGGCACTCAGTGGTCCGTGGCTAAAAATTCCTTGGCTGTCATAATTTTCTTCCCCTATTTGTTTCGGAGGATCTCTTCTAGAAATAATCGATTCAATAGAAAAGGAAATCGAATTTTGCATTGTAAGTCGCCACGTCTTCTTTGTGTTAAATACAAGAGCGAACACACATTAGTGACTGGTGTAGTTCGTATTGTTCCTTATCGGATTACGCTCTCTCTGTTAGCAGACGTTACAAATCACGGGGGCTGTGATGTGTTACGTCAGCCGGACACATCCCATTGGTTGTTTAGTTGTCAACTGACAGGCGTGAAAAATAAACCGAGCGCGAGGGCAAAAATCCATGATGCTTTAGGCTCAGTCAAAACAATTAAAAATCAATGTTCGTGCACAATGAAACTTAATTTTTCCTCATTGTGCTAAAAACTATTAAATACTACAAGGTATTTTGATTTCTTAACTGCCCGAGCAGAATTTTTTTTCGTTAATTAGTGTTAGTTTGAAGACAAACAGATCCTGAGTTCCTGAATAATTCATTCAGCTACTGCGAAGTATACAGCACTCACACAGCTGGGCTGTTCCCGCAGCTATATATAGACTTCGCATTCTAATCACCCTAAATCGTCGCTCCTACTATTAGATTTCCCGTATCAAGACTGAAAATTACATCTTTCGCTCTATATCTTGGTTTTTTTTTTGTGCTTGTGATCTAGTCCTGGTTGTTACCAAATAAAAAAGTTTACGTACTGAAACCTCGACTCTGACGCCTTAGACTTGCTATCCGTTGACACCTTGTACAAACTTCCGAGGTGAAACAGGCTAAAATAATGATGTATTATTTCATCATAAGAAGACAGCTATGATTTCAATTGCCTCGGTGGTCATTTTGAGAATAACTTGAAATCATTAAAAGCTTTTGTCTTCCCTTTCCTTCCGTAGACTTGTGGCCATTTCTATGTCTTTTATAGTAAATGGACACATTAAGTCAACAACAATACCACTAAAAGTAACCAAGTAACTGAACCAACTGAAGTCTGCGCTCGAAGATACCAGAAGCTAAGTACCGGTGGTTAACAACTCTCAGACTTGCAAGAGGGTCAAGAACTCGTGGAGAGGAAGTTACTTGAAACGACTGCTAATCAAGGTGATATCACCATAGTTTTCTGAAAGATAGTACTGTAATCCAAATATATCTTACTCACTCCCAGAAATTCCTTAAATACTGTAATATAATAAATTTCAACGCAAATACAAACAAGACGAAATCAAAGAGGCTCCAAAAATGTTTAAACTGACAAAACTGACCATGCTAGCCCTACAGTTTTCGCCACTAAAAGTGTGAAAAGTTGTTCAGCGAGAGGCGCCTTCGGGTCTATAGGCCTGTACACAAAGGACTAAATCTGATCAGATTAACTGGTTACATGCTGATTCTTTGGTAATTACCACAACTGATGACATGATTCCTTAAATTGTGGTGTGTACTCGGAAAACGATGCCGACTTCGTTCATGTGATAATCTCTTAAGCTGTTCCAGAGCAAACAATTATTCAATTATACATTTGCCAGACTATAATGAGTTCTGTTGGTTTGTTCTGTTCAAACTAGGTTAAATAAATCAGCGTCATTACAATGACGATAACCTAAATAATTTTAATGATCATAATTATGATAATAATAATAATGACGATATCGATAATGATGATAATTGTTGCCTGACCAGGCACCAACAGCGATAGTTTTTACCCTTGCGTAACGATCCGGTCTAACAGTGAATGATAATCGAACATCCGTGATGGACATTTTAAAGTGTTTTTTGATTTTTAGGGTTTTTATCAAACTTTTGTAAATATTTTTGGCGATTTTAAATAAAGTGGAGTACGTTTTATTAAAAGATACACGAATTGCTACATTGCGGGAACAACAAGCGAGAGTCCGTGGAGAACCCGCAGACCCAATACGCATGCGCAGTTAAGCATATCTATGGATCGCGCATACGTGAAGAAAAGCTATGGACTGCAAACCAAATTTGTTTGAATGAGTCAATGCGCAGCCTAATGTGGGATTCACTAGTATGCTGCACCTCACGTGTGCATTGCGTGATGTGCAGGTGGCTAATATATAAACAGCATCTTGTTGCCGCTGCTTTAAAAGCATCTCACGGCCTTCCCTCGGAGCCTGCGGGAGGTTCGAGGAGGTTCTGGCGCGGTTCGGCGTAGACCACCGGCCAGCGAGCAAAGCTTGCTGGCTCGGCCCTCGCAGACTTCGCGAGGCCCCTGAGATGCACGTTCAGCAACGTCAATGAGAGCCTTCTTGCAGGCTAATGTGCAGAGAGGGGTCCCGCACCATGAGCGGCAGTCTTGTTGAGCGGACTTTTGTCACCTGCGTTGTTTTCTCTGTAAAGTAGAATACTTTTCTGTATTTTTCGCAATTACTACCATTGATAGCCTTTACTAGGTGCATACAGACCTGATGTGCATAGAACTTATAGAAGTATATTATTTTAAACTCATTTAGTTAATCCCTCCGATGTGAGAGTAACATTTTATAGTGCAACACGACTGTCCGGGGAGGAGAAGTCCTGTAAAGGAGGTACTCGGTTGTGACAAAGACTACAATACGCTGTATTTGTACCGTAGTGGTAAAAAAGGATGCCAACAGGAATTTGTAGGTGCAGTAATGACATCAGTTGAGATTTCAACTTTGTCTTTTGAGTGTTTTTCATAATTGGAAATAACCCAGATGTTTTCAATTTTTCCATTGTCTCTTTCCTTTATCTTAAGGTGGACACAGCGTTAGGGTTGGCTCAGGCAAGCCTAGATATTGACCGATTTGTCCAGAATTGGGTGTAAATATCCTTTATTAATAACCATAGGTAAAAATATTTTTCGTTATGGACGAATTTTCGCACGTGCTAAAACAATTTTTTTCGTTCACCTTTATTCTTGATATCAGAGCAATCTTTGGTACGCATGCACTTATCACTTTTTTTACTGTGAAGATAATTTTTTTAGCTATTCCAGCTTCACTAGAGCCTTTTCTTTCCCGGTTCTAAATAATGTAGATTGGTGCGGCGGCACGTTTGTTTTTTGAGTCACACCACAGGCGGCCCAAGCACTCTTTGAGAACCACACAAGGAACACAATTTGCATATCGATTTCTAAGGATTTGTATGGGATTTTCTACAAGATATCCATAGAGATAGTTAAAAGTGAAAATATTAAATAAAAATGGCTTACCTCATTCCATACGTGTGTTGTTTGCTCCTGGTGTCGTTATTTTACCGATTTCACTTGATTTAAGCGGTTTCTTTTTATCCTGGTTTTCTCTTCTTAAAGGGAAGACAAGGTCGAACACTTCTGTCCAGACAGCCTCCCGAAGTAAAAAATCCCAAGCTAAAATGTACCCACGGCCACATATCGACCGTGAAAACCGTGAGTAACCTTAGGTTATTGTCGGTTTTTGTTTGTCATTGAGTGAATCACTAGTAGATTGTTGTGCGGGACGTGTGCAGGACGTGTGCAGGACGTTTGCAAGCCTTGTAGTGCGCCCTTGTGGCTGCATATTTCAGAAATCTTGATATTTTATCTTTCTTCAACATCACCTAAACGAGGACAGTAGTGTACTTTACTGTCGAGAATAGGAGTATGGTGTTCTATTCGAGAATTTTCTCTTGTCCCTTCGCAACTCATGGAAATCTACAAATTGTTGGCGCAATCAGCCGCCATTATCCAGTCTATTATGGAAAACTTTGACGTCGCCCGGGATACGTGCTATAAGAAGAGGGCGAAGAACTTTGAAAGGATTGGAAGCTTAATACCCGACAAGGTGGAAATGAAAGAGTCAAATGTGATAGCTATTCAATACTCAAAATCTCATACAACATCATACGACATAACACTGACACCGGCAACAGCCAACGAAGTGAGACTTGGTTCACGACATTTTATGAACCATCCAGTGATGGTGGAATCTGCCAAGCCTGGTTGTACACCGCATATAATACCACCCAATCGCATGGTCTTAAACACCCGTTCGTTCAACCATCTCAGCAGCAAAGATCTAATCTCTTAACGTACTTAAAGGAACTGGTCACTAAACCAACCCGTCGTGACAGTATTTTTAGATGCATTTTTTATCAACACTGTTCACCAATGGAAAAGACCAGTAGCGTCTAAGAGTCTGGTACGGTCAGGTTATCTTTCAGTCATTGTTTCTCCTAATCAACCTGCCGGAACCGAAAGGGGACGCGTTTCTTTCAGGGACGTAAGAGGTCATCGAAAATTCGATTTGCAGCATAAGTTGGAGGCATTTGAGGTCTCATCGATTCCTGCGCAAACTTGGACCAAGCAACTTATTTTTTAGTTCACTCTGTAAAGAGAATGTATGATGAAAGTTACCCACTCATCAAAACTAAGGTATCTTCTTGAGATCCATCTTATACGACACGCTTAATTATCAATAAATAATAATAATAATAATAATAATAATATCAATTTCTATAGCGCATTTCCATGCAATTTTCTAATTAAGGTGATTCCTCAGGAAAAAAAAGTTGTCGAACATTTTTTTAAACTTTCCGCAAATTCTCCCTATCAATGTCTGTTTTGAAAAATACAATGAAAAGGATAGGTCACCGTGCCTGTTTAAGAGGTATGATGAGCCAGTCTTACCCCACTTCTGCTCATGCTGTACTGGCACTAATCACGTCCGTCCGCATGTTATCGGTTCACGGTACATTTTCGTGGGTAGGGCAAAAAGTATCGAGCGTATGATACAATTTGATCTATAATTTATGGGAAAATCACGCAATTGTAAACGAAACCGACGCAAACGTTGCTCTAGTCGTTGCCTTCAGGGTCGTAATTTGCGTCATTGAGTAACGGGCTTCGTGCACGCTTTATATTTATCTTTTAGCTTTATCTTTTTTTCCTTTTATGACTTTTTTTTAATTTCTCCAGTTAAAGGGGGATAATTTGTACACTAAAATCATGCAAAAAAAAAAATTATTGGTCACGGCGCTCCTATTAGAGCTAAAGACCATCACACCTCTTTTCTTGGTCCATCAATTGAATTGAATTTTATGCCCAGTAGAGGATGCACAATGCAGTACCGAGGAATCACCTTGAACACATCTGCAAGAAAATTAATAAGCACATAAAGAAAGGAGCTAAACATGGCCAACAAGAACGTATTAA